GCAGCGGTTGAGCGCTGGTTTGCGAACCTGCCCGCAGCCTCTGCGGCACCGGTTCGATCCCCGGCTGCTCCCCGGCCACCAGAGGAGGGTCCCACATGGCGCGCAGACCTCTCCTGCCGCCCGCTGCTCCCCTCAGCAGTGTACTTCGGTCCTTCTGCCTGCTCTGCTCCCTGCTCTGGCTCTGGTGAATTCTCTCACCCTCCCGCGCTTCTGACTGTACCCAGTGCATGTGTAAACAAAACAAGCAAATAAATAAATACATAAATAAATAAACATGCCTCTATAAAATTAAAAAAAAATCATAATGATTTAATAAAGACATAATTCTCTATTCTTAAATTTTCTATTTGTGGGCATTTAATATGATTAAAATGATCTCTGAAGAAAGATAAATATACCATGATAAACATATTACTAAAATTAATATTTTCAATGTTTTTATTACTTTGCAAGTTGCTTTTGTTTCCTTCTATTATAAGTAATTTTTATATAGTCATACATTCTCTTCCAACTCTGTATCCTTTTATGTGTCTGTATGCAAATCTTGCCCCCAAAGCTTCATAACTGGTCTTGGGTTTATTCTTCAGAGAACTTGAATCACCCAATTCTAAGGTAAGAAAAATAAATTTAAAAAATACTGATTGAATTTGTTTTCTGCACCTAAAAGTTTCAATATTCAATGAATAGTCTTGGTTTGCTCATGTATTAAAAATATAGATAGTAATAGAATCCCTTTATTCATGAAATTTCAACAAAGTCAAGTCCCTCTAGGAAACAGTCATTGCTTCCTTATTAAAAAATTCTGTCTTTTTCTTGAACCTTGTTTATCTACTTTAATTGGTGCTAATAGTCTCAAACAGAGAAAGAAATAATTGCATTTATCGTATTATATAGGAAGCTACTTTAGAGTAGGAAGGAGTCGTCACTGAATTCACTGGTGTCTCCATAACATTTTGCTCTCACATGTTTGATTTGTAGTATTTTATGAGAACATTTGACTGTTCTTGTTACTAGTGACCTGGTCACATTTTAAGCATGGAATTATTTCTTTTGTATTTTGGAGTATTCAAAGAATTTATTATAGTCTTTTTCAGTAGATTCATCACAACTGCTGCCTTGAACTGAAATAAATGCCTATTATTCCAGGTACATTCTGGATTATTTACTTTCTCTACTGTCCAAGGCCAAATGACTCTGAAAAATATGCCATTTTAAAATATGTCAATTACCATTTGAGCTGCAAATATAGATATCATATTCTTAAAGAAACTTTTCCCTTTTTTCCTAATAACTAATATTTTATTTATTCTTTATGAGTGGTCTACTATTTGGCTTAATTGCATTCTGAAAGTAAGTCACATACTCTTAAATTATGAACTAATTTAGGGTAATATCCCTGATTATTTCATATATTTCCAAGGAGGGCTTCATATCAATTTATAATATATTTAAAGTAACTAATCTTAAAAAAATCAAAATAATATAAAAATTTTGAACAAATGTGAGAGCAGGGATATTCTCTAAAAGTAATTCATGAAATTGTAGATAGAAGAGAAAGAGCTATGGGATTTGATGTTACATAGGGTAGTCCTCAGCACTTTCAAATAAGGCAAAGAACTGGAAATTTTCACGAGCAAAAGGTAAACGCAAATGGTTATTCAGAGAAATTTAAACACTTAATATCTTAAGGATAGAGTCTCAACTATTAGATGATGTTAATGAACATTTTCCTATCCAATAAAAGATAATAAAGAAAGCTAAAAAATTATCTCTTGATGTCAAATATTTATCCAAATACATAATGCAAGGCCTTAATGAAAGGTAGGGTGCATATTTATGTTTATTATAATTAATGCTAGATGCAGACTCATACCTATATCCGGTATATAAATATAATAGTTCTTTTGTGTTTTAAGGATTTGTGTACCTTGGTGTTCACAATTAATCTTTATAAGGCTCAGCCTCTGCCATTTTAGCTCAAGGTAGTCAGGAATATACTTTTCTTCAGTTAAAATGGTTTCTCAGCTTCTTAGTTTCTATAAATGGAGTTAATGGAAGCTAAATGTAAGCAGTACATTTGCAAGTAGACTTCATACAAACATCAATTTCAGGAAAATAATTCTCCTGAGGGTCCCAAACACTAAGTATAACACAGTTATGAAAAGTCAAGTGGGGCAAATTCCCAAGGTACTAACATGTTTAGCTATACTGCAGTGCCTCCAATTCACACTCTCTTTTATTTTTTCTCTGAGTTTCTTAGAAATATGCTATAATACCCAGCCCTATCTGCTTTTTCCCCATGTGTATAATTTGTGCACAATATCCCTTCTTTTTCCTTTAATATTTTTCCTGTTGTTTTTGTTCTTATGATCCTAGAATATGTTTGAATGATCTAAGAAATTATAACAGCTATCTCAGCACTATAAAGCTATTTGCAGCCACTGCAGCACCAGTCCAATCTCTGGCTAGGGAGGCGACCCACATGACGCAGCAGACCTCTCCTATCTCACCTGCTGCTCCCCTCAGCAGTGTACTTTGGTCAATTTGCCTGTTCTGTTTCCTACTCTGTCTCTGGTGAACCCTCTCAACTCCCACACCTCTGGCCTACACCCCAGCTATTGTATGCATAAATAAATCTTTAAAAAAAACACTAATAGTAATAACAACAACAACAACAATAATAATGGTAATAATTCCCAGTAAAAAGGGGTAACATACTCCTAAATTAATACCTGGAAAACGCAGGTAAGCAACAGATATCAAATAAACAGCACAACTAAATATGTCAAGAAACTGTATTTTGATACTTATTTTTCACAGCAGATTTTTACTATCACTCTTAAGTGAGCAAACATGTTTTTCAGACCAAGAAAAGGTGATTCATACCTCATCTTTCCTTAGCTGACATGACTCAAGCCTATTGTTGACTCCAAGGACATGGAAGGAAGGCAGCTTTCCTGACCATTCGAAAGCATCTCTGTCTTTGATAACACCTCATGGGGATCAATTAGACCCATCTTGTGTACAGTGAGCGAGGCAGGCTTCTACCTATCAGGAAAAAGCTAGGGACACTCTATTTCACAGAAAGTAGTACTTGTCAGGCACTACCTCTGTGACATAAAAAAATAAATAAATAGGGGCCTCCCCTGGTGGCGCAGTGGTTGAGCGCTGGGCTGAGGAGCCGGCGAGGGTCCCACATGGTGCGCAGACCTCTCCTGCCGCCCGCTGCTCCCCTCAGCAGTGTACTTTGTTAGTCTGTCTGTTCTGTTCCCCGCTCTGGCTCTGGTGAATTCTCTCACCCTCCTGCACTTCTGACTGTACCCAGTGCTTGTATAAATAAATAAATAAATCTTAAAAAAAAGAAGAATTTCTGTAAAATGTTGGCTCCCTCAGACTGTGTTTTAACTCTAAGCATTTTCTTGTGTTTAGAAGTGTGTAGCTTTAACATTTACCAAGTGGTATTTTCTACTTTCTCTATTTTTTTTTTTTTTTTACTTTTAAGTGCTATATCAAAATCAAAGCTTTCCTAATAGTTTTACTCACATTATTTTATCGGTCTTCTAAAATAGAATATATAGTGTATTAAACAACTCAGCCTTTCTCTAAGATAGCGTGTTTCACTAGCAAATTAAATTCTCTTCATTTATTGAAATGTACAGAGTTTCCATCTAAATTTATTTACCTTTTTATTATGTTCTTACAACCTTAATGTTTCTTCCATAACTGATGATATTCTTGAAATGATCTGTAAATCGACTCACTGGGGAATTCCCCTTTTCACAGATATCAACAGCATCCACAAGCTCAGGAACAAGATTAATGACAGATTAACCTTCCACAGCTACTAATGCAGCAGATTCTTAAAAATGTCCCTACAACACTGGTGATAAATACAGTTTTCTGGAGTTTAACCAAAAGTGAATCATGCAATATGGACATACAACATGGTTGTCCTTTTCCCAAGACAAATGCACTTTACTGAGTTTTCTGATGATCACAGAAATTCTTGAAGAAGGAAAATTGTCCTCAGCCCTTGAGGGCATGGAGGTAGATTAAATGAATACAAAGAGCAGTTTGCAATCTCTCAAGTCATTTTCCTAAACTCTACGAATGAACTACTATTTGATTGATCTACGATTTATGGTTATTATATATTCCATAGCATAAAATCTTATGAGATATGTAGGCATAGTTTCCCTCTGTTAATAGAGTAGTATTTTGCATTAACAGTCTACTTAATACTTGTTTTGGTCTGATTCTTGAATACTAAGATTTTACTGTTAGTAGTAGAAGATTTATTAGAATAAATCATGTGTTTCTTTCTCTTTCTTCTTTCCTCCCTGACTCACTTCCCTAACCCTTCACGTGTTCTGTTTGGTTCATTGTAATCAGAATAGTTGGGTCTGTAGAAATCAATGGATGTGAACAGTAAATCATGGGGTGCATGTTTTGTGGGCCTGGGACTAGGAATTAAGTGTATAGAAGTTACATTGAATCAAAACAAGGCTCAAAATAAGCTACAGGACAATGATCCAGCAGCCTTAGGTCAGAAAGGAGCTCCTTGCAAAGTCTGGAATTGTAGCAATTTGGCAATTCATCTTACTCTAGATGGACTCTGTATTTCCACCCACAGACACACATGTCACAGTGAAAAAAAGGAAGAGCAAGTTCAAGTGATCAAACTATTGGTCTCATTCACTCACTTTGGGTAAGGGACAGCGTTTGAGAATGATTGAAAAATGCATAACTGTCTATTATATTCCAAGCAATGTGAAGGTATCTTAAATATCTGTATTATGGAGACTCACCCTTTGAGGCTGTATTATTAAACCCTTTTACAGGTGAAAAACAGAGATTGGTTAGCATGGGACTGACATCAGTCAGGTCCTTCCTCTAGAGCTTATATAAAGTCATTATATAATCAAGTATCATATTCTATAACAATAACTCACGCAGGTTCAATCACTTTCTCTGACACTCAAGAAAGAAAATGTTCTCACCTAACAGCACTGCTGCCCACATCGAGGTCCTGTGCAGTGACAGCACCGATGATGGTCCCCACCGGGGTGTCTTCAAAAACCTCCATGGTGTACAGAGGCTTGCTGAAAACCGGGGGTTCATCCACATCCAGCACGCTGATCTTCACTGTGGCCGTGTCCTTGAAAGGACCCGCAGATTGAAAGCGGTGGTCAAGGTGAAGGTTGGAGGCTTCTACTTTAAAAGTGTAAGCCTTCTTTGTTTCAAAATCTAATGGCTGTAGTGAAGATAAAGCAACAGTAAGGCGATATAGAAGGTGGCCAAGCTTCAGAGAAATTTGCAAGTTAACAACAACTGTACTGGTCTGAATTAATTTCATTTTCTTTAATCATTAGAGTTAAGTACAAGATAATCAATTTAAGAATCGCCTTCTTGTAGATTAATCTGTGTTTCTTGTAAATATAATCATCTGCATATATTAAATAACATATATGGGCATTGCACATACATGCTAGGTAGGTCTTATCCATTTTATGCGAAGTTAAACAAGAAAACAAGTCTTGTAGGAGGCATTCTCTGCTCTTATCCAATACTGACATCTGGTGGTGAGAAGTAGTGATTAAAACACAGTTGAAAAAATAGTTGAAGATATTTGGGATTACATCTAAAAAATTGGAATACAAAATATATTTCTTCCTGGAAAATCTTCCTGTTTTGACAACAATACATTCTTCTGCTAAATACTCTTGAATATATAGGTCTTTTTGTTGAAAAAGGGCTATATCCAGATTTAAGACATGCAATGGTAATTATGAAAAGATTTCTGTCCTTTTGTTTTCCCATAATTTTACATATATGCATATCATATATATAATAAATGGGCATTGAAAAACAGAATCAGAATACTTTACCAAAAATTAAGACTTTGAATATACATAATCGGATTAAAGAGGAAATTGAAACAAAATATTTGGAAGTCATTTGTTCCTGGAGTCATTGATCCTCAATTTTAATTTTATATTCATTTATTCTGAATGTTAGCTTTATACTCTCACCAGATAAATTATGGTCTACAAATATGATGCTGCTATATTGATTTATTTAAATGAAACCTTTGCAACCAATGACTCTGACTTCTGATCACTTATCAAAAACTAAGAGAACCAGAAATTAATATTAACAGTGATTTTACAGAACCCTTAAAGTTTCTACTTTCTTATTAAATTCCCTCTCACATATCTACAAAGACTTGTAAATTGTTGCTTCAACAAAATTTTTTTTTTTTTCCTTATTGGGGGGAAGATAGAGTAGAAGTGATATTTTTCTCTTCTAAGGACAAGATTGCTCCTCTATGCACTTTCTCTGAGTAAACAGAAAGAAAAGAAAAAAAAAATAACTATGAAGTTCTCCAAGCTCTCACCACCTCAGAAAATGTATTATAGCAAATTGTAACAGCTGTTTGACTTGGCATTCAGTCTCCTTCACTGTAATTTTCAATTTCATTTTCATTTAGGAGATCTATATTTATTTTTCCCTGTAATTATTCCTTTTATTATCTACCTGACCCCATTTTAGTCACTTCTCATTTGCTGTGTATTCAATTACTTTTATATTTTGTAGTAACCTAACCCACATATATTTACATAGAGTACTCAATTTTTTTTAATATCTACTTCTGTCTTTTTAGGAATTTTGATTTCCCTTAAAGATAACACAAGAAAGAATGGTATACAGATAGGCCATGGTTAATCTTAGCGATATTGTTTACATGAAGATAAAGTAACTATAAAAAGGGAGGAGACAGTCCATGATGCTCTTGTTCTGAGCACTCTGCAGTTGGTCTAGAGTATTTTAAGGAATCAGACTCAAGAAAAGACAAACCATTCAGAACTGTGAAATACTATTCAAGCCAAAAAATTAGAAGTGGCTACAATTACTGGGAAAGTTTAACCTAGAGTGAAAACAGGTGAAGGCAACATGGGACTAACATTTTCAAGTATTTGAAGAACCAACCTACTTAAGATCAGTTAGGGTTATTTTATAAGTTTCTGAGTAGTGTAAAAACAATAATTCAAATTATTAATAACAGTAGCATTGGGTTCAAGGGAAAGAAATATCAAACAAATGAAACCATTCAAAACTGACTTGATTGAATAGTCACTGATGTGACTTTTTATCACTGCACTATGTGCAGTGATAAGAAGATGCATGGCAAATGAGATTTTTTCTCACTTGACAATCAACAAACAGAATGGAGAGAAGCATGTCATTTTGTTTAGTGGATAAGTTGTTTGAAAACATACTAACTTCCAGGGCCTCCGTGGTGGCACAGGAGTTAAAGTCTCAGCGTTATCAAGCTATCACAAGCCACTATAGCCTGAGTTCTATCCTTGGCCAGAAAGCTGACTCACATGGCACAGCTTGCCGACTGCTCCCCTCAGCAGTGTATTTCGTCAGTCTGCCTGTTCTGCTCCCCACTCTGTCTCTGGTGAATCCTCTCACCCCCTGCACCTCTGGCCTATACCCCAGTTCTTGTATGCATAAATAAATCAATCTTTAAAAAAAAAGAAAATGTACTAAGAGAAATTAGATGCCTTGAGAAAAGTCTGAGCCGTTATGTATAGCAGAAAAGGCTGCATTGGCTGATTTAAATTAAAGATAAAATAGATTTTCTGTTGTTGCAAACTAAATGCTCTATGAAAGTCAAACAATATAATTTTTCTTGGTTAGTAATTCATAGCTTCTAGCATAAAACTATTTGACATTATCATTGTAGAGGGCCTTTTGCTTAGAAAGTTAATTGAGCAATCCTGGCTCATATTTACTGCAAACTTTGGACCTAGAATAAATTTTTCAGAATGTAGGAGTAAGTGCCAATTGTTTCTCATTTCACTCTACTTTATCCTAGACTTTGAAATGTCTCTGATTATCTGTATGATTAGGCAAATTCTTCTACACAAGACATACATTTTATTGACCTATTAGATGAACATACTTGAGCTAGCTGATGAGTTTGACTCCCCAATTCAAAGTATATTTCAAGCACAGAGATTAAAGTCCTGAAATCCTTTCTATGTTTTTTTTTTTTTTTTAGTTGATCAGACATATTTTGTGCCTTTTAAGATCTGCTGACCTATCACAGCAGGTAATTATCTGGTGGTCAGGGAGAGAGTGTGATCAGGGAGACAGATTGCATTGAAAGAACCTGTCTGTGCATACAGATTTTTTTTTTTTCTTTTCTTCTTCTTCTTCTTTTTTTTTTTTTTTTTTTTTTTTTTTTGCAACTGAAAACATGAATCCTGCGGTGATCAAAGTACTGGAGCAAGTAGTAGGAGAAAGGCCATAATGATTTCCTTCATGGCTTTACTTCTTCATGACCCAGATCCTGAGGCAATGCTACTTTATGAAAATAGATAGCTTGGAAAAAGTAAAGAGAATCAACAGTGAAATCTCTCTAGTTGTTTTTATCCTACTGTTCTGATTGACTACCTTCCATTTTCTTTGTGTGTGTGTGGGGGGGGGGGGTGTTGAGGAAAGAAACTCATCAACTTTACAAGCAACAAAAGCCTCGAGTATTGAAATAAGTACAGAACAAACGGCATTATTTTCGTCAGACAATGAATCATCTTCTGTGACAGAACTCCTTGTTATGAAGTTAAGGTCATTTAACTCTTGCAAAATAAATAGAAACTTTTGTGGCACAGCTTCGGGTCCATTCAATTTTCAGAATCTTTCCTAAAAAGTAAAAGTAAGGAAGTCTTTCCTGATTGAATAGAATATTTGGGTGAGTAACTTCTTGCCTCCTGGTTATTTCAATTAAGGAAGGTTAATGAAACCAGAATTTTCAGGAAAAAACTCACATAGTAGAGAATTGTGTTGAAAGGAACCACACCATAAGAAAAGGAATATATTTAATTGTACTTTGGAGTTGGGTAAGATAATACTGTTTTGCAACTTAGTTTTTCAATATTTTTTCTGCTCTTTGATCAGGTCCAGGTTATGAATAATAATATAAACTGTTAAATGTTAAATGATTTTCTTGCTTCAAAAAGGGATAAGCAATGTTTGGCTTCAACACAAGAGAAAAACCTCCCTGGGCTCTACCAAATCTGATCATGCTTCCAGACAGACAATGTTGAGTGAAAATAGATAGCATAGTTCTATTTTGAGGGATTTTAAAAACAGCAGTGTTAGCAGACAGAATGCCAACATGACCCCCAATTTGCTCTTCCCAGTGATCTTACTCATATATTTCCCTGCCTAGAAGTGAGGGAGGGGCCTGTGAACTGGGTCATGAATTTGTTAAGTTTTATGGAAAATTAAATTATGCAAATATAATTAAAGTCCTTAATCACTTGATGTTGAGTTAATTAAAAACAGATTTTACCAGAGAGGTCTGACCTAATCATGTGCATCTTTAAAAGAAAGAGGCAACATAGATGATTTCCTCTGGGCCTGGAAGTAAACCTGTGAGTGCAGGGGTTCTCCTGGCTGGAGCATAAGGGGTCCCCACAGGAACTGAGACTAGATTTTGACCAACGCCTAACAGAAAACAGAGAAGCCTCAGTCACAAACCACAAAATAAATAAATAAATAGTTAAATAAATAAATAAATTAAATAAATTAAAAATTCTGCCAATAATTTAAAAGACTGTGATTGAGTCACAGTCTTGGTCCTGGGCCCTTTGATTTCTCCTGGGAGACCCAGGGCAGAGACCCAGTAATCCCTTCCCGGATGCACAGTAGTTATACTTGTATCCTATTCATTTTTTATTTTTCCATATTGATTTAATTTTTAAAGATTTATTAATTTATGCATACAAGAACTGGGGTACAGGCCAGAGGTGTGGAGGGGTGTGAGAGGATTCACCAGAGACAGAGTAGGGAACAGAACAGGCAGACTGACTGAAATACACTGCTGAGGGGAGTGGCAGGTGAGTCAGGAGAGGTCTGCTGTGCCATGTGGGTAGCTCCCTGGCCAGGGATTGAACTCATGCTGCAGTGGCTGCAGATAGCTTCATAGTGCTGTCTTAATCCCTGTGCCACCAGGCAGGCCCCCATATTGATTTAATTTTTGTGGCAGAAAAGTGTCATTTTCACCAGCACAGTAATGTCACCACACTTGAGGAAATGTTTCCTTTAGTAACAAGACTCTACCTTCTCAACGAAATAGATCTTAATGAGAAATGTGCTCTAACATCGCCAGTGACTCCAAATAGCGAAAGTCTGTGGTTTTATCTGAAATAGACTATTTAATTTTCAAGATAAGCAGTTACC